AGAGATTAGTGCTCTATCTGATAGGTGAAGGGTAAAGATTTGCTCCCAAGATGTAGGCTCTCTATTCACCTCACAGATTGTTTCTTTTGCTGAGAAGAAACTTTTTAGTTTGAGTCCATCAAAGGTACACTCAGACTTGCTCGTGGGACTGCAAATTGGTGCAGCCAATGTGGAAAGCAGTATGGGGATTTCTTAGAAAATTGGGAATGGAACTATCATTTGACCCAGCTATCCCTCTCCTCAGTCTATATCCAAAGGACTTAAATACAGCATACTACAGGAACACAGCCCTGTAGTATCTATGTTTATAGCAGCACAATTCACAATAGCTAAACTGTGGAACCAACCTAGATGCCCCTCAATAGATGAATGGATTAAACAAATGTGGCATATATACACAATGGAATGTTACTCAGCAATAAAAGAGAATAAAATCACGGCATTTGCAGGTAAATGGATGGAGTTAGAGAAAATAATGCTAAGTGAAGTTAGCCAATCCCAAAAAAACAAATGCCAAATGTTTTCTCTGATATAAGGAGGCTGATTCATAGTGGAATAGGGAGAGGGAGCATGGGAGGAATAGACGAACTCTAGATAGAGCAGAGGGGTAGGAGGAAAAGGGAAGGGCATGGGGTAAGAAATGATGGTGGAATGTGATGAACGTTATTATCCAAAGTACATGTATGAATACAAATTGGTATGAATATACTTTGAATACAACCAGAGATTTGACGTGTTCTATATGTGTAATAAGAATTGTAATGCATTCCGCTGTCACATATAAATAAAAAAGAGATTAAATATAAATAAAATATCACCAATATCATAATAAAAAATTGGATTACTGATTGTGATAGTAGGTTATTACAAAGCAAGGCCACCCTATGCATGTGGCTTTTTCTGCATGTGACCAATCGTCTTTCCAAGTCTCTTCCCTGAATTGATGCAACATGAGGTCTTCACAAGAAGTTGAGCAGATGCAGCACTGTGTTCTTGGGCCTCTGGAACTATGAACTGAATAAATCTCTTTTATTTACAAATTAACCAGCCTTGGGTGTTTTGATACAATAACAGAAAAATGGACTGAATTAGTAAATATAAATGAACATTGCTTTTGATACTTACTGAAGTATCAAAGCAATGTTCAAAATTTCTAGAATTGGTCCTAAAATTTCCTCTGAAAAACTGTACCCACTGGATCAGGCCCTGAAATCTGCCAACTCCCTGGACCTCAGACAGAGTGACACCAAACTGAGGGCGAGGTGTGCTATCCCCTGTTGTTCTGGGTGTCACCCTGGCTTCTATAGCACGAGGGATGGTCTTTCCAAAGGGCCCACTCTTAGCATCTTATTTAACAAGCTCAGAGTGAGAGGGTCCTGAAATCCCAGCCCCTGATTAGGAGGCTCTAGTAGGTAGCAGAGGAAGATGCCAAGGAAGGGAAGAAACTGGGAATCACCAAGTTTAAAAAAAAGAAAGAAAAAAAAAAACCTCCATCCCCCTACTCCAACTGCCGAGAGATTCTGATTTTCCTCCCAGCCCCGATCTTCTTGGCATCCACACGGTGAGGTGCAGACAAGATTGTCTCTGACTTCCAGAGTCAGGGTAGCGATGGGTAAAGCAAGGAAGAGCACCCTGCTTCCTTGGAGAAGCTATGCTCACCCTGCCCACTGCAGAGGACAGGCTCCTGGCACCTCTGCAGTCTCGCCTGGCGCCTGCCTGGACTCCCGCCTTTGTCTTCACGATGGCCCAAGGACACTGCGGGCCTTCACTCTCTCAGATCATACCCTTCAATCACAGCCACACATTGCCTGGTGTGTCTCCGCCAGCAGAGCCTGCTTCCAGCCCAGGGCTGGGCGTGTAAACAATACTGAGGACGAGTGTGAGTGAGAGAACGGCCTGAAGGAGTCCATTGTTAAGTGCTCGGTAATTTCACAGTGTTTGGGATAACTTACCTCCATTCCCCCAGGAGAGTTTTGTTTGTTTGTTTGTTTGTTTTGAGGGACTTTACTTTCTTTTTTTTAACAGCATCTGTTTAAAACAACAACAACAACAACAACCTCAGCTCCTTGTTACAACCATAAATTCCTGAAGGGCTTTCCCAGGGCTGTGTTTCAGTAGAGGGAGAACAGGTTCTCCTTCCCTGACCTCAGCCCCCTCTGCATCTTGGTTTCTTCTTCCCACCTAGGTTAGGTGTTCTCTCTCTCTCTCTCTCTCTCTCTCTCTCTC